TGTTATTGAACTGTTGTTGAATCATGGGTTGCTATTATATATGAGCTCTTCAACGTGGGTATTTTATGAGTTGCTAACTACAAACAAGCCAGGTTGGTTGTTGGTTTCTGAACTCTGCACTGTTCTTCATTAACGAACTCATTGTTAAACCACAATGAAGAGTTTGTACATAACAACATCCCATAATTCCACAACAATCCATACTCAACCCTGTCTGGGTTGTTATATGTAAACTGGGTCATTGTCAGGGCCTAATGAAGCTCTATTGGCAGAGTATTTCACAAGGTAGGTACAACAGGCAAGAAGTTACCAGAACTTGTGGTTACATGCCAAGCTTCCCGAGGGGAGCGGTTCTCAAATAGTGCCTCAGATGATGAATAGATCATATACAAAGGACCATATGCAAGAAGACAGCCATTAAAGTATCCAGCTCTAAAGCTTCAGCTGACCAGTTAAATCTGCATACTTTTGCTAAAACAAAATTCTGTTCTGAAGAAAGCAGTGTCTTCTTTTTCTTTTGCTAAATGATTCATGTACTTCTTGCAGTAGGCAAGAAGCACTGCTGGGGGCAACGGAAGCTGTAGTCCATCACATCTGGAAGATACTAAGCTGGGGCAGAGTGGGCTATGCACTGCCTGAGAGGAAGCACTCCCTGCTGTTTGACTTGGAAGAAATCGTGCTAAAACAAAGCCAGAGAACATCCAGAATGATCTGATCATATTAAAAGATGATGCTTTAAGATGTCAAAATACACACACAGCATTTTATTCCGAAAAGTAGCCATCATGGTGACGATTAGGCTTATTATTATACTTTTAAACTGAATGTTTCTAAAAGTACTCTTAACGATACAGCTTTTGTTCCTTTTTTCTTATTGTAATCTAGCACTTGAAGAAGGCCAATAGTTGGGGTTAAAATGCATAGGGCACTTCTTGGAATAAAGCCACATACAGGTTTTTTTCAACATCCTGAAAATTTATCTCTTTTTTCACTTTGTCAGGAGAATGCCTCTTCTACACTGGCAACAACTCCCCAAAAGGGAATAGCAAGTAGATCTTCCCCTGAGCAATGTGATCCTCTTTTCAATATTGCCCTGAGTGTTCTCAGTGCCCTCTACTGTTTCCATACTTCCTCCATTCATTAGGTTCTCTGGAAAGGACAAATCTGCATCCTGCACCTTTTTGTATGTATGTGCAAACAATCTATTTTGACAGCTGCAAAAAGAAAGTATTTTTTTCTTTATCTAACACATTTGGGCATTTTTTTAGACAGACATATATATAGCCATGCAATCTGCATATATTTGTTTGCCCACAAGATCTTTGTCAGTGTTCCTTCTCCATATCCCATCATGCACTGGGCATGATTTCCAGAGAGCAAACAGTACTGGGAAAGGATTAACTTCAATCTTCCAGATCCAGAGTCAGTCCAGGGGGATTGGTTAAAAAACCACAGGGAGATACTGTGGGATTCAAAAGCACTTTTAGCATTATCATTTCACCTATATCATTTCACCAATGTATATGTTTTCTGGTGGGAGATACACACACACACACACACAAATATTTGAAGACACACAAGGATTTTGCTAAGTATATACTCACTGAGTCAATTTGCATACTGCCTGTGAGCTGCTCTCAGGTTGCATAAGCAAACAACAAATACCCCATTAATATGCTATTATGATGTCTAAACCTGGGCATTTAGTGTTGCGTCTGGGTTAAACAAACTAGAGTTAAGAACAAATTGGAAGCTAGTAAGTTGTTTAACCCCTGACTGGATATGGATATCATGCAAGCAACCTCTGAACATTCTTAGATGCTTATAAAAACCAGAAGTGGCTTACATATGATGCAAATCCTCACAAATTGTGAGCTAAATAAACCATAATTTGCCAGTGTGCCACACAAACCAAGTAGCTGGGAGCCCCTTGCCAACTGTGGCTCCCAGAGGAAAACAATCCTGCCAAAACAAACCCAAGCCACTCTTGTTTTTAAGGGTTTTTGAGCAAGACCTTTTCAGTGGGATCCCAAAGTGAATTTACATTCTGTCCCCTATTGTCAACTGCTTCCACTTGCTTGCCTGACAAGCAGAGAGCAGGCAGGCATTGGCAGCTGTCGCTTAACTTCTCGTTGCTGTGGTTGTCTGGACCAGGGCAAGAGCCAGGTGAACAAGCAGGCTGCAGTGGGGAAGAGGGGGAGCCACTCTCTGGGACTCTTGTTAGTGGGTAGTGTGGCAGGTGCCCCACCAGACCTGTCCTTGATGCCAGCCATGCAACAGACTCCTAAACAATCCTCACATACAACTGGGAAGTGTAGTTTTTCCCCTACTGAAAACAGGATGTGCAAAGCTGCCATCATGAAGGAAGCAGTCCCAGGATCCTTTCAAAAGAGCTGGAGCCTCCTTGCTGGAAGTGAACATTTTTAGTGCTTCAAGCCATGCAATCACAGGCAGGTTTGCTCATTCAGTTGCTCTGTCCTAAAGCTCCTCCTCGCATGCAGATTTAATATCACGTTAAGATGATATACAGAAATATTCTATAAGAGCAACATCTGCATGCAGTGACATTTGTACTAGTCCCAATCCTGCAGCAATAGCATAACAACTACTCATGCATAATGTAGAGGAAAGCTGGGGTGGGAAGAGAGTTTTCACTGAAGGGCTTGAAATATTTTGGGGTGAGGGAAGATCTGTCCACTCCTTTCAAGAGAAACAAATACAAATGCAAGATATGCATACCGGTGCTGAAGGGTAAAAAAGACATATTCAAAGAAAAACAGCATTATAAAGAAAAAAACGTTCTGAGATGGCATGTTATTGCTTTGGGGAGAGTACAGCTTTGCTTGAATCTGCTCTTTTCCCAAAGAACTTGGCTCACACAGAATAGCAATGTTTTAAAAGTGCTAAACAAACTAAAATTGAAAAAAACACTTAAAATGTACGATAATGATATAAGCTAGTGTTGAACTGGATCCTGGAAGATCAGGGTTGTTGTCCCCACTTAGCCACTGATTGGCTTGGGTCCAGACAGGGCTAGAAATTGAATAAATAAATCTACCTCCCAGGGGTGGTGTGAGGATAAAATGGAAAAGAGGCCATGCAAGCCAGCCTTAGATGGGTTCCTTGCAAGAGGAAACAAGGTGGAATAGACATGATATACATGTAATTATCATTTTTTTTAAATGATTGAGTTTGTGAACAATCCACAATGATGTCATGGACATTCCAGTTGGTAGCCATATCAGCCACAGCAATTTGCTCTCTCCATAGCAAACAGAGCTGGGGAATAACTCAGCCACAAGTTTGATCAGTCACAAGAAACTGCTGTTCCTGTGGAATTCTCTGCAAAAGGACATATGATCTGAAGAAAAACAACAATATTTCCATGAACCAACAGATAACTTGGAACCCACTTCCTCAAAGTGTGCCATAACTGTTGACTAAAGGTGGAAAAGTCCTCCTGAGCCAGGAGAAGCAGCCTGTTTGTATACTATGTGATGCATGGTTAGATGGGAAAAAGGCCTACACCTACCAGCATGTCCCAGCCAGCTGCTCGCCCCCCTACCACTCTAAACTTGCTTTGGACTGTGCTCTAAGAGGTTTTCTCCATGCTTCTTCACATACTACTAACTGCTTGATTTCCCTGCAACTGTTCCCAACACAATACCTGCATAATGTGTTCTCTGAGACCACATATAGGATGGATTAAAAACAATTTTTCCTGCTTACCCAGGAAATCCTAGTTTCCACCACTGACAGTTTACAAATCTATGCACCAGCCTTCCCCACCCTGGTGACTGGGGCTCTGCAGAGGTGCTGCCCATCATCCCCAGACAGTTAGGGTGGCTGGGGACAACAGGACTTGCATTCCCTTAGAACTGGAGAGTTCCAGGCACCAGGTTGGGATCAAGTCTCATTCAACTCAAAAGCATTTAGAGGTGGTTTAAAAACATGTCTAGGATTGTATTGTCAAGCTAGTTCTGTTCAGGAAGTTTCCAAAACTGGTTAATAAGAGACCTGCTTTGCCCCGTAAGTTAAACTTGACAGTTGGATCCTCAGAACTAATCCAAACAAACACAAGGCTGGGCCTCTGAGAACTCAAGCATTTGTTGTTCTTTGCAGAACAGACGTGCTTGTGCAGTTTTTCATAGTAAACCGCCCTTTTTTGGGACTACAGAAATCTACAGGAGTCCATTAGGGGAATGTGTTCATGTGAGTAGCTGTACTCCTGCTGCCTTTTAAAATCAACGTGGAAGCTGCATACTCAGAACACATAAAGCAGAGGTCGGGATACTGAATGCAGGGAAAGGAAAGGACACGGCTTTCTTGCCGGATCGTGAGTAGGCGTGACCCAGGATTCCTTCTGCCATGCACAGAGGTGCAACGTGTCGCAGAATCCTCTGCCTATTTCCTAAAACAACGCCCCACGAAATTGGCACTGTCAAAGGAGTAAGTGCCATTTGAGCGCACGATCGAGGCTTGCTTCTCAGGGACACGCGTGCACTCTGCTTCCAGTTCCAGATTACTCGGGAGTGAGCATCTTCGCCTACAACGCGTCCGGGTTCCGATTAAGTCTGGATAGAATCAGACTGCGCAATTACCCCAAAGGAAAGGGATGAATCTCATTCTCTCTCGGAAAAGGAAGAAGGGGTATCTCGGAAACGGGAAGTTATGTCTTCTGCCCGGCTATAAAGTCCAGTGAGGACAGCTTTTCTCTGGAGGACGGCTGCGGACAGTTTTCAGGAAAAGGCGCGTTGTGGCTCTGCTCCAGCACGGGGTGGGAGCGCGGATGACCCTTCAGGACGGTCGGTAAGGGCAGGGGACCTGCAAGCACCGAGCTCCCCAGGAGAGGGCGGCCAGTTGCTCGCTCTCCCAGCCCCCGCCGGCGCTTCCCCAGCCCCAGCAGCGCCCGCTACTTTGTCTCGTTGACGCCGGGCGCATGCGCTGTCCGCCGGCAGGACTAGGGGGCGGAGGCGGCTCGCTGTTCTCGCAGGAGGCGCAAAGCGCGGCGACGCGGAGGGGCCATGGCTGCCCGTTAATGGGGAGCGGGATCTCGCGCGCGGCCGGCGCTTGGGGCCACAGCGGGGCTGCCACCACCGCCGCCACCACGATGCTGCCTGTGCAGACCGATCGGTTGCCTCGACGCCAGTGCAGGCCAGGCACGGAGCCGCGGCGGCTGCTCTAGGAGCCGCGAAAAGGAAGAGGAGGAGGAGGAAGGAGCGAGCGAGCGAGCGAAACAACCAGAAACCGCCCCCCAGCTGGGGTGGGGACAGATCGCACGGCCCAGGTGATGGGGAAGCCCTCCAAAGCCACCCCGATTATTTGGGGAACCACATGCATCCCTCCCGCTTTCGCTCTAGGTACTTCCGACTGGCCCTCCCCCACCCCGTTGCTTTTTTCTGTGGCCTGCAGCCACGCTCACGGGTCCTTTCCATGATTTCCCTGCTCTCCCTCCCCGATCTTTCGAAATCCCCGCCCCCACATCGCCCCGCGGCCTGCCGAGGGACTCGACCGCCCTCCCAGCTATCCACCCCGCTCCTCTTCGGAAAGCGCCCCATTCCAAACCCCGCCTCCTCCCAGCAAGGTCTTTCTGCAACCCCCCACCCAAACTCCGGGCTGAACTGCTAACATGGATGGGCTCTCCTCCTAAAGGCCCGGTGAAATTTTACGCTCTGCCGCCGCGGGCGCCCTTGGAATGTTTCGCCCCCCAATTCAGCCCACACGTAGGGAGCTGGAAGCCCTCTGGCACTGTGGCAACCCCCTCCCTCCTCCGACGGGAACGCATATCTGCGCTGGGTCGTCCCCTCAGCCCTTTCCTGCTGCGCTCAGCTGCCGGGACTGGCCGCGAGCTTTGCAGGGGTTACTAGAGTTCAAACGCGGCTGAACTCGTCGGGGGCCTAAAGAGCGTGGCGGGAGGGGAGGGGAGGGGGTGCTGCAGCAAAGATGGTGTGGATTAATGGAAAGTCCTGAACTGCAATCCCTGGCAGGCGGTGGATTGCGGGTGGGGGAAGACTCCTGAATTTAGGGAGAGACGGGGCGGGTGGGCGAGCATCTTTTTCCAAAGACCATGTTGCTGTGGGAGCTTGCCTCGTAAACTCCCGGAGAGGAGTTGAGGAAGTGGTCCTGCTGACCCTGTGTCTGGGTTTGGTAGTTAATGCTCACCTGCGGTCCTCTGCTTCCTTCAGTGGTTTCGGGCTGTTTACATTCTGGTCTTTCCTCGAGACAAGAGGTGTAATCCAGGAGCCCGCAGGCACCTCGATCCAGAATTGGTTGGGCAGGAAAAGCCTCGATCAACCAAGTGCCCATGTTGTTGTCAGATTGGGGTGTTACTTTTCTTTGTGGTCCATCATTGTAAGCGTTTTACACTTAGAAATCCCCTTGCTTTCTCGTCCACTATGGATGAAACCCAGTGTGAAAAAGGGAAGTGGAGAGGCACGATTGTATGTCAAGCACATACTTATGTAAGAATTATTTCTCTTTTTTCTGCCTGTAGAGGAGGGCACTTTGCCTGTGCATGTTTCACCAGACCTAATTCAATTTAGCATCTTCACCTTCCCATTTGTTAACTAATGCTATCTATCTATATTCCCCCTTTGGGACTGCAGTTGGGTTCCATTTTCCAAATATAATTTGCAGATGGGTAGTTATTGAAAAGCTGATCAGGTATTATTTTGTCCTCTGGCAAGTACAGGAAAGGAGCATGTGATAGGGAGACAGATTGGGTTGGGAAAAAAACATGACTTTAAAGATAATTTAATATGCTCCTGGCTGTTAACATGAAGAGATTAGCCCTTCATGTGCTAACCTTTTGATAGTGTTCTAATGCAAATTGTCTCTGTAGGCTTGTTGCAGGGCGGGATAATCTATAGACCACTATGATATGCTGTGGTCCATCTTTATGTCTTTTGAGATAAGTTTAACATTTAAACCCCAAGGTTAGATGTGGCAGGAAGGATTAGATACTGCTTTATTTATTATATTTATATCTTGCCTTTTCTCCAAGAAGACCAAAGTGGGAAACATGATCCTCCTCCTCTTCATTTTATCTTAGCAAAAACCTGGCAGTGGGAGGAATGCTGGAAGTCCTAGGAGTAATTGTGGTTGGATGTTATATCTCTAGCATGAGGCTCTCGAGAGTAGAGATTGTGACAGGCTTCTGGTTAACAGTTTTCTTGCTCATATGCTATTTGGAATATATCCCAATCAAAGTGATGTGGGAGCAGGGTTGCCAACTTTTTCCCTAGCAAAGCTTCTGTGTTTCAAGAAAGGGGTGACAAGAAGAAATTTAACTGTATCCCTATGAAACTGGTAGGGTCATCATTTTCTGTGTTTCTGTTTGTTTCATGGGAGTTAAAGGTGCAAAATACTTACTGGAGAAAAAAATGGCCTTTTTGTATGACTGTGAACTCGTATAGGATGAAACTACCCAGTGGGAAAAGGCAAACCTAATTGGATAGATATAACAATGAATCTTCTCTTCTTTTCTCTTTTGCATATGTGAAAGGCATCTTTTGGTATGGTTTTCTGTCTGCTTCCTAATGCACATTTTAAAAACAGTAGAGAAATCAATGTCAAAAGTGGGTGAATCAGTCAGCTATATAAATAGACACCAGAGAGTGGTTTCCCTCCTTGATGATGGAAAGAGCATATTTAAGTTCCTTTTAATGGCTCATATATGTGGGGAAGAATTTAATAACTGCAGACAAACTGGGTAGAATAGTATGTAGAATGTGTATGTACTGTGAAAAACTATTTGAACTCTGATTTACTCATTTTTTATTTTGGCTGCTCTTTGAACTAATATGCAGTCTTTGATTTCAAGTACCTGACTACAGTGACTTCTTTTAAGTTGTAAAATGTAGTTTTAGTTTGTACTTGATTTGGACAGTAAAATTATTTGACAAGGGTGTTGTTCAAAATGCTGTTCTAAAGTTGTCAAAGTTCTACTGGTAAATAGAAGAATATTTGAATCTAGATGGATAATGCGTCCAATTCAGCACATTCTTTCTGGCTTTGACTTCTGTGGGATTCTTTTAAATTCTGCAGTATTCCTGCTAAGTTGCATAAAGTTGTTTACAAATCACTGTGAGTAACCCCAAAGTCATTTTCCTCAGAAGGATTGGCTGCATCAGAACTGTATTATGTAACGCAGTAAGAATGAACCTTGCATGTTCGTAACTTTTTCTTGGAGCTTGGTGAAATTCCTTTATTTCTGTTACCACAATCATGACCTACCAGTTTCATGCTATGTGCTTGTTTGGACAAGATCCTCTGAATGCCTGCACTTGTGCATGTACGGAAGACCAACATGGAACTTCTTAGAATGGCTTTTATAAGAGACTGCTGTGTTCACACTAGCTCTATTATTTTTAAATTTCATTCCAAAATCTTGCAAGTATGTAAGCCTCCCCCGATCTTCCTAACTGATGCTTCCCTAGGCAAGCAGCTTTTCTTTGATTGCAACAAACTATTGCATTTGCCATCGCAGAAGGGAAGACAAGTGGGAGATGGTTGGTGGCTGGTTTGTCTTTGCTGGAATAAAAGACGGGGCTGGGAATTCTCATGCTTGAATCTTACGGAGTCCCATGAAAAAGCTCAAAAAGGCAAAATAAGATATAGAGGGAAAACAACATTGGGGAAAATTGTTTGGTAAATCTCTGTAAAATTCCTGCCATACCTTAATTTTCCTAATTACCAGGAGCTGTTAAGTTGTTGTATTTGGTTTTAAGTGGTTGTACTGTTTTTATTGGTGTTACATACTTTAATCTGTAAAGCACCCCGAGAGCCCTATGGGCTCTTGGGGTGGTATACAAATGTAAATAACAACAGTAATAATTTTAGAATATTGTATTGAAATATTTAAAAATATTTTATTGCATCTCTCATGTAAAAAGGATAGTCAACAAAGTTAAAAATATAAATATGCTGTGTAACTAAAGCATAACTAGGGTCTTTATTTCCAGTTCTGGAGTGGGCTTATCTCTATTTTTCCATCTCGAAGAAATTGATTTGCAATCTTTGGTGTGCAGTCTCTTCTAAGACATAACAGTGTGAATGTGAGTTGAGTACTTGCTGGATAAATCTTAATACTCATCCATGAGAGCCAGTTGACATAAAGTATGCTGGAACTGGGAGGGGGAAGATGCATGTGTGATAATCTTGAAGAAACCACTCTGCAAGTCGAGGAATATGGACTATAGACCACCTGAGTGCAACCTTTCTCTAGTTACACTTTCACTCCCTTTAAAGCAGCCTTTTATAGCCTGGTACCCTCTAGATGTCTTGGCAGCTCATACCAAACCCATCCAGAATGCCCCAGTGGTCAGCAGTCCTGGGAATAATTATACAAAACATCTGGATAGCCCAAGTTGGGGAGGGCACTATTAAGGCATGGGTGCACATGCGAAAGTCTTCCAATTATAAAATGTTATATGAACCCAAGAACTCCTCTCCTGGAAGGTGTCAGTGTTGCATCCCCGGAGACCTGAAATATTTCACTTCTTTGGCAGATGCAGTAAAAACAGTCACTGCGGCAGTTTACGTATTGTCAAGATATTTCAGTGCCTTTTCTGGAAGTGTCTTGTATACCTATGGCCAGTTTGCGAATTTCAAGTCAGCATTTAATTAGATTGCTGGCCCCTGATACAATATGCATGTGGAAGGCTGGGCTGGGCTGGTGTTTCTTGGCTGGAGGCTGGTTTTTCATCAGCAGCTCCAGCACATTAAGGTGGAGGTCTCTGGCTATTTCTGTTACACTTTGTGAAATAATTTTGCTAGCTCTTTCTTCTGAAGTACAAGATGAGCATTCCAGAGCAGGTTCTCCTTTGTACTCTGCTGTTTGCCATTTTATTCTTTTGCTTGCAGAGGCACTATATGAGACAGTCCAGCAGAACATAGTTCTTGCCAAATAGTCAGTGATCAATTCTAACTGTATTACAGAAGGTTTCTACTGAACAGGAAGGGTGTTGTGTTAACCCACTGGATATAAATGTGTTTAGAATTTCTAGATTAGGGGAGTTTACTCACGTTTTCCAAATCAGGGTTGTATAGCCACGTTGCAGGTGTTACTTCATCTAGGAATGATGCTAGTTGCTGAAATAGCTTTTCTGTCACTTTGGCACAGAATCCTAAATTGTAAGGTCACTGGACAGGGTGTCTTACTTTTGCAGCAGTCATCTCAAATGCTTTTGGACTGTGTAGACTTTGGGCCCAATAGCACCTAGTTTCCTGCCATGCGAAAATTAGACATTGGTGCTGCTGATAAATGTTGTTAGAACATGCTTCAGT